CGTTTGGTTGAAGGAAATTTAAATTCCCTTCCCACTTAATTCCCACCTAATTTCAAAGACCACACAATTTCCTTGTTTGGTTGAAAGGAATTGCAATTCTCCCATTTTCATGAAATTAAAATCTCATGTCCCCCCTACGATTTTAATTCATGGGATTTTAGGAAGAAAAAAAAAGATAGATAGTGATAAGTCAAAATTACCCCTTTATTTTTAACCTAAAATTAATGTCTAACAATAACAATGGACATTTTTTACTTTATACTACTTATTCCCTTTCAATTTCGATGTATACCAAACATTGGAATTGGAATTGAAATTCCCAATAATTCTATTCTTGTAAACCAAACACTGGAATTTAAATTCTCACTTTATTCCCAGTAATTCATCTCCATGAAATTATAATTCCTTTCCCACGTAATTCCCCCTCTCCAACCAAACGTCCTGTAAGTATGCAAATTGTGTATTTTGGACCTGGGTTCATCTTGTAAAGTGGACCCGGGTCCATGATATATTATAACTATAAGTACCATTAGAAGGATTGATATTCAACTTTATCATTGTATACTAGTCTTTTTTATGCGCGATGCGCAAAAACATATGCCAAATATTTATATTTTTTTAAATATCTAACAAATCCCTACTAATTAAAATAATCAAATTTATTTATTATAATAATCTAATATATAATGTCTACAAATATTATTATCATTAAAGAATATAATAAAATATATGGTGGATGCATGTGCATGGTAACAATAGTGGGAGAGTATTTTTGTCCAAAAAATTATATAGTACAACTCTAAAAGCATAATGTACAAAATGATTAGCATTAAAAACATGGATATAAATGAAGGATATAACTTTGATTGAGACTTATTATGTTTTTATATTATACTAGTATTTGCGCCCGTTCGATGCACGGAATATATTTGTTGTAATATATTAAGAATATTTGGATCGATATATAATTATTTAAATTATAACATCAAATATTATATAGTGCAATTGAATATACGGGTTGGATCATTTATGTGTTTTTATATTATCATTGTTTGAATTTAAGCAAATAATTGCTCAAATTAATAGCGAATGTGTAGATGTATGCATGCAGTGCTGTAACTTTGGAGATTTTATTTATCATTGTTTAGTATTTTTTTTATAAATTAGACAAATGTGTTCGTTCTCTAGCAACTCAGTTATATGAATGAATTGCTATCTTAATTCATTTGTATGGAGAATTATTTTTTGTCTATATATATAGCAATTTTGTCATTTAAAAAAACATAATATCAACGATTTTATTTACACATTATTGAAGCCTCTCTGTAGACGGCATTGGTAGTAGCAACACAATCTTGTCCATCATCGTCTAGAGCTAACACCTTCAATCGATCAGGATGTGCGACTCGGTGAAAATATATAATGGTATAATATTAGTCAATTAGTGATCCTTTTATATTTTTAGCCAATTATTCTTTTTTATTTTTAGTCAATTAGAATATCATATGCAGTGATATTTTTACCTAATTTCTGTTTTATTTTTAATTTATGATGTATAATATATTAATATTATTATTGAAATATTTCTGTTCCATTTGTAATTTACCTTTATTATTGTTTAAAATATGCATTTACTATTTATGATGTAGAATATTATTATTGAAACATTGGAGTTCAATTTTAGTTTCCCTTCCATTTTTAATTAAAATGCAATGATCTAACCATTTATTTTTTTCATATTAGTCAATTATGGATAATTTTTTATTTGCAGTCAATTATTAATATTCATTTCCTTTTATATTTTTAGTCCATTAGTAATATCATATTCATTTTCAGCCAATTATTTCTTTTTTAATTTTAGTCAATTAATCAATTAGCTAACTAAAATATCAAATGCAATGATATTTTTACACAATTTTTGTTTCGTTTTTAATTGATGATTTAGAACATTATTATTGAAATATTTCCATTTCATTTTTTATTTTCGTTACATTTTTAATTTACCTTTACTATTGTTTAAAATATGTCTTTACTATTGATGATGTAGAATATTATTATTTAAATATTTCCATTCTATTGTTTAAAATTGTGAAAGATTTATGACATACTTGTGATTTGATCTATTATACTGTGTAATATTATTGTGAAAAAATAAAATGCAATTATCTGACCATTTTTTTTTTGGGAAAATGGCACTTTTTCCCCCTGAGTTATATACTTATAGCATTTTTCCCCCCTGAATTATTTAAGTGGCTCCTTTTACCTCTAAAATGTTAAATGGACATATTTACCCTTAAAATAAATATTTAAAATAAATATTTCATTTATTTTTCTTCTCCAACAAATTATTACTATAATTTGGTTCAAACCAAATAGATATTATAGCAACCAAACCAAAATATTCCAATTACAATTTAGAATCAAAACACGATATTTAGAGTTTATTAAAATTGCAAATTTAAATGGCCGGTTCATGTTCCGAACTGGAAAAATAAAATACATTTATTGTTGAATTTAGACTATTTTAAAATAACAAATAAAATAAAATTTAAAATAAAGACGGTTCAAAATCACGAACCGGATCCGAAACCGCCGGTTCACGGTTCATGATCCAGTTCTTTTTGGTTCATAAATTTAATAAATTGAAATCTAAATATTGGATTCTAGATCTGAATCATAACCGGAAACTTTTAATTCGATTGCTATAGTGTCCGGTTCAGTTCGAACTGAACCGTGGTCATTGCTACATATACACAATAATTTGTTGGAGAAGTAAAATAAATAAAATATTTACTTTAAGGGTAGAAATGTCAATTTAATATATCAGGGGGAAAAACCACCACTTTTAAAATAATTGAGGGGGCTAATGTGCTTACATAAATAATTGAGGGGGAAAAAGTGCTATAAGTATATAACTTAGGGGGAAAAAGTGCCATTTTCCCTTTTTTTTTTTCTATTTTAGTCAATTATGAATCTTTTTTATTTCCAAACAATTATTAATATTCATTTCCTTTTTTAATTAACCTAATGTTTGTTGCTAAGCACCTTGTGTTTAGATGGCATGTAGTGATTTCTCTTATGTGAGAAGTTATGAGATCGAACTTTGGTGAAGGCGTTGTTGACTATGTTTTTTCCTGTTAAACTGATTATTATTAGTTATGAGATCGAACTTCGGTGAAGGCGTTGTTGACTATGTTTTTTCCTATTAAACTGATTATTATTAGTATTAATCAGTTAATTTTGTTTCGTTTTCTATTTTTAGATTAAGGATCCTTTTATATTTTTATATTTTAATGTTAACTTTTAATTTTACTGATTATTATTAGTATTAATTGTTCAGTGAATTCCATTTCCTTTTCTATTTTTCGTAAATAATGAATCTTTTTTTTTTTCAAATTTTTTGGTAGGATTTTTTTTACTGTTATTTTTATTATGACCCTTTTTTTTTTTTTTTATATAACAGTCTTTCATTTCATTTTTTTCATTTTCAATGAATTAAGAATCTTTTTTTATTTTCAATTTTACTGATTATTATTAGTAACAATCTTGTCCATCATCATCTATAGCTAACACCTTCAGTCCATCATGATGGACGACTCGGGTGAAAATATATAATGGTAGAATATTAGTCAATTATGAATTTTTTTTATATTTTAAGTCAGTTAGTAATATCATATTCATTTTAAGCCAATTATTCATTTTTATTTTTAATCAATTAGAATATCATATGCAATGATATTTTTACATGATTTTCGTTCGAGTTTTAATTGATTATGGATAATATTATTATTGAAATATTTCGGTTGCATTTTTAATTTAACTTTATTATTGTTTAAAATATGACTTTATTATTTATGATGTAGAATATTATTATTGAAATATTTCTGTCCAATTTTACTTTCCATCAATTTTTAATTAAAATGCAATGATCTAACCATTTATTTTTTTTCATATTAGTTAATTATTGATCATTTTTTATTTGCAGTCAACTATTAATATTCATTTCATTTTATATTTTTTGTTAATTAGTAATATCATATTCATTTTCAGCCAATTTTTTTTTTTTTAATTTTCAGTCAATTAGTCAATTAGAATATCAGATGTAGTGATATTTTTACCCAATTTATATTTGAAGAATATATTTACCTAATTTATGTAAATGAATAATATATAATATATAATATATAATTTCTATATTTCAAAGTTACAGCACAACATGTGTACATCTATACATCTATACATTAGCTATTAAAACATATAAACGATTCAAATCATATTTTCAATTGCACTATATAATATTTGATATTCTAATTTAAATAATTATATATCAATCTAAATATTCTTAATATATTACAACAAATCCATTCCGTGTATCGCGCGGACGCAAATACTAATATTACATAAATGCCCTTAAGTTTTGAGGGAAAATTTGAGAAGGAGGATTTTACTTTATATATATATATATATATATATATATATATATATATATATATATATATATATATATATATATATAGATTTAGATAACTCTATTATTATAATAACGTAACGAGATTCCCATGTAAATGATGTAATCATTTTTTAATCATTTTCCGTTAATATGTTTTATTGTTCCCAAAGTTAATGTGTTTTATACTTCTATCTTTGGAATTTGAATCAAGATAACAAACGTATAATATAGAAGATTTGAAAATAATCACTACTTTAATTATTTGTAGATTTAATATAGTATAATCTTTATACTTAAATGTCACAAATTCAACTTTGTTAATATTCTTTTGATTAACTCTATCTTTTTATTTTCAAAAAAACTCTATCTTTTTAGATGGTTTATTTTGGTGTATAATTTATAAATTATTATACAAGGTTTATCCACGATAGTGGGAAGTCAAAGTCAGCAGTCTCCTTGCCGAAAATGAAGATGGGAGAACTGTACGTGGGTGGACCCTGTATATCGACGCGTGAAATGCCCTATAAATTATGCCTACTGTGACATAGTGTTTGTGTTCCAAGAAATAAAGGACAAAAAAGAATGGAGATGATGAGAAGTGCAGAAAATAAGCATTTTGTTCTGGTTCATGGTTTTGGCCAAGGAGCATGGTGCTGGTACAAGCTCATTCCTCTTCTCAGATTATCCGGCAACCGAGTTACGGCGTTGGACCTCGCCGGATGCGGCAACCACCGGAAACAGATCGACGAGGTCGCCACCGTGTTCCAGTACGTGGAGCCGCTGTTCAACTTCATGTCTGCGCTTCCCAGAGATGAAAAGGTTGTTTTGGTCGGGCACAGCTACGGCGGGATTCCCGTTTCTCTCGCCATGCAGAAATTCCCCGAGAGAATCTCCGTTGCCGTCTTTGTATCCGCCTACATGCCCGGCTGTAAATCCCCGCCGGCGACTCTTATCCAAGAGGTGAGATTTCCTACGCGCCGCCTAGTGCGGCGGCGCACGAGCCTGTCAGAGCCCCGACACTTGTTGGGAGACTATAATTTGTTATGGGTAGTAACATTATCCCTGCAAGTTTTTTTATTTTTAATATTCAAAAGTAATTTCTATTTTAATATATAAAAATAACTGGGAAGAAAAAGATAATATTTATTAAAAAATAATAATTTTTTAATATGATGTTGTGAAATTGAGACTCAGGTTAAATTTGATGTTGTAAAAGTAGGACTTACTTTTAAAAGTGAGAGAGTATTGTAGAGATAACGATATCTCTTTTTTTTTCCCCTGAATTCCTAATCTAATTTCTTCATTTTTTCCATTAATCTGGTCAGTATTTTAGAAGAAACACAGCGGATTCACTCATGGACTGTGAGGTGATGTTTGAGCGAGGATTGGAAAATCCACCAACTTCTGCTATTTTTGGGCCAAATTTCATGAAAGCCATACTCTACAAAGACTGCAAAGAGGTGTGTATATTCTTACACTATTTTGTGCTTAATAACAATAAAATAAGCATCGATTATTTGAGATTCTATTTGTGTAGCTTAGCTTAAGGCATCCATATCAATCAAAACACGTTTGAAAAGATATAATAAGTTAAATTTAGCAGGGATATTGCTGTCGGATGCGTCTCATGTCAGTTACTAATGGAGATTTATCTCGATTAAAATAAAATATATAAGATTTAATGGGTGATAATGGCGAAATAATGGATAATTAATTGGTGGTTAATGGAATTTAATGTCATAATTAATGAAATGGGAAGGTTATGAAAGGATAATTAGGGAGTCAGGCTAACTAATCATATCACAAGTGAGTGTCATGTCTGCTTGTTAGGTGGTACTGACTAAGTGTCCATTCTTGGTATCCATCAATACCTCTTGGTTGAACTCCCGATTTTAATAGTCGGGTTTAGCCCATGTACATTCTCGGATAGTAACTGCGAAGTTTCCTTCATCGCCAAAAAAAAAAATCAATATATAATATTGTTTTTGTACAATTTATTTAAAAGACTAATAATTGAGTTTGTATTGTTATAAATACATGTAGGAGGATTTGGAGCTAGCAAAGATGCTAATGAGGCCGAATGGATTCTACGTGGAGGATTTGGCTAAGGAATCTTTGCTGACTGAGGGTAAATATGGGAGAGTGAAAAGGGCATATGTTGTGTGCGAAGACGATGAAGTTATGAGAGAAGAGTTTCAGAAGTACAATATCGAAAATAGCCCTCCAGATGAAGTGAAATCCATAGCTGGAGCTCCCCATATGGTCATGTTGTCTAAGCCTCAAGAACTTTGCATTTCCTTGCTGGAGCTTGCTGATAAATATTCATCGTCAGACAAATTTTAATATATACTCAAAATAAAATAATATTTAGTCGTAGAAGTGTCTGAAATTTTATATGTAGTCAAGCTAAACCCACCTATATATGAAGTCGCATATTCTACCCGGCCCCCAACTCTTTTGATGTACCAAATAAATTCAATTGTTGAATTGAAGTAGTTGTCGTGCTACAATTATTACCTAAGCTAATTCATACATAATAAATATCATAACTAAATATTAACGTGGGTATTGCGTACTCAAAATGATCTTTAAAAAAAATATATGATAAGAGAAAATCACAACTACTATTCAATAGTGTATATTGGATAAACGTCATAAACTCTATTCTGATATACCATACAACATATATATAGTAAATATTTTGGTCAAAACTAATCTAATAAAAGTTCAATTCTTTTCTTTTCTTTTTTAATTTATTTTATTTCTAACTAATTAATCTATATATACAAGTTATTACGTAGCAAGGAACTAGCTCAAAATTTGAAAGTTGATTTTAGTGATGATGGAGTGAAGTATGAGATGATCGATATTATCACACGAGATATTGTCTCAAGGAGTGGACCAATCTAGAGGGAATTGAATAGTATGTGGTTAAGCATGAAAGTGTATATTGTTCATTTGTTTGGAAGGTAGTTCGAATAGTGTATGTGAAAATCATACATGAATAATTGAGAAGCAAAATAAAAGGCAAGTAACAAACTAATGTAACAAGTATCAAACAAATGAAAATGTAGGGACTTACTTAGCCACTTCTGTATAGATGCTATAGCGTGTAATAGCATAAAGACCATGTAATGCCTCAACAAGGGAATTAGAGAGACGGTACTAAGTGCTAATGCCACTCTTGTAAACATTGGAGTCTCGATTAGCTTTAGTCTCCATTCTCATGGTGACTTAAACTAATTGAAGCAATTCATCAAACATGTGGCGTTCACGTCTCTTTCCAACTTCCTTTTCTCAAAGCAAAGTTAGATTAGTGAAAGATGTGGCTATGGTGTTTTCCTATTCTCATATAGCAACAAAACCTTATACATGCATGTTCTTGCATAATTAGACCCAAATTATGCAAAAGTCTATTTAAATCAACAATTAAACTCACAATTTGAACCATCATTGAATCATTACACTATCTCACATTATATTGCAATTCAATTCACATAGCATCCAAAACAAAAGTGTTCAATCCAAATCCCTATATGAAGATATACTTGGAATTGAAACAAAAACATGAATTGAAATGGAAACCATTGCAAGAACAATTGAATTAAAGAAATGGAAGATGCAATCTTGAAGTTTAAAAGGAAGTTGGATTACAAGTTGAAATTGAATGCGTGCTCACAGTCTACCTCACACCCATGAGCTCCACCGTGTGTTTTACGTAGAACCTTCAAAACGGGCTTAGCCCGTCCCCCCCTGCCAAAATGGCAAGTTTTGACGGGCTAGTGAAGCCCGCCTAGTATGTATGTATTATTACTAATATATTTTTTCAATATACTAATTACTAATTTGTAGATATATAGTTATGAATTTATGGATATTTAGTTCATTCATTGTGGATATTTAGTTCATTCATTCTGGATTTTGTGTTATTCATTCACTGTGGATATATAGTTATGAATTTGTGGATATATAATTCAAATTATGCACAAAAAATGCTATTGTCGGGAATCGAACCTGATTTTTTTTAAAAAAAAGTGGGACGCGCGTTTTTAGTCAAAACAACGTCATTTTTGCAGTGTGCACAACATAATTTGCGATTTACTCTATGCAACCATTTTGGATTGGTTTTAAAGCCATTTTTTTTTTACATCTCATATATACTTTATCAACCTATTGAAGCCCAATGAGTCAATATCGCCTTCACTGAAGGTCAAACCCATGTCATCGAAACACTGCCTATTAGAGAAAACATGTCGTGAGTGTGGCCCTTGATCTTCAATACGTACAACTTCAAAACAATGCCTCCACTAAGACTCAATCTCATGACCTCCCATATAAGAGAGGTCACTAAATGCCATTTGAGCACAAGGTGTTTGGTTAATAATCATATAGTTATTTATAAATTATATACCTACAATTTACATATTATATATGCACATATAATACCAACATTCTTTTTAATTGAACAAAAAATAACAACGCTAAAAATAATGTTTATGTAAAATGATATTGTACATTTTGACTTTTGAACCAAAATCTACTCTACAAAGTGGAATATGTTCAAAATATAATATTAGTTTCAAAACTATTTTCTGGGAGCAAACCACGGTTACGGACCGCCTTACTAATATTGGTGCTTTACAAGAGAGGAATTAGAGAGAGCATGACATTTCTTCACAAGATTTGGTTCAAATCATTCTTCCAAAAAGTTGAACGCAACTCTAAATTTGGTTCATATTATCGCTGAAGATATGATAAGTGTTACCACTTCGCCTGAAGTGGGTGTTGCTGAGTAGGCTTGTTAAGCCCGAGGTTCCCCTATTTCAAAAAATATGAATTCTACGTAACTCTCAAATTATATTCTTTAAATTTTATTTTCTGATGTAGTAGACACTGATAAGGTACTCTTTTTTTTTTTTTTTTTTTTTTTTTTTTTTTATGTGAATCTCAATAGAATATTTATATCATGATTGGCAACGTCAGTAGGGCTAATCTGGTGAAAGCTAAGCCTACCCAGATGACATATTGACATGACACGATCCTGTGTGGTTTGAAAACACGACAAATATTTAATCAAATAATCCAGCTAATAGTTGAGCCGCGTGTTGGAAACAAACGTATTTGGTATGGCTAAACTAATTACTACGTATTAATTTAGGTCCTACATTACTGTTTTGCAGTTTACTTTGTTTATTTTAAAGAGTAAATACTTAAAATGGTACTTTGACTATAGCTAAATTCACAAATTGATTATCGACTTTCAATTTCAACCAATTAAGTCTTTAACTTTGCAATTTTGACACGATTTGGTCCTCCATCTATTTGACCATTTGTTGACCGTGATCGACGATCTCCAGAAGAACCTTCAGCTCTCGTCGGAGCACGTGGAGGACCCCAGGATGACGTTGCACCGGTTCGAAAACACGTCGTCTTCTTTGCTCTGGTACGAACTCAACTACATTGAATCCAAAGGGAGGATGAAAAAAGGCGACCGGATTTGGTAGATTGCTTTCAGCAGTGGATTCAAATGTAACAATGCGGTCTGGAAATGCAACCGGAACCTTAAAAACCCGACGATGGACCATGAAATTACATATATATCCTCAAAAATCACAGTCAACAAATGGTCAAATAGACAGAGGACCAAATTGTGTTAAAATTGCAAAGTTAAGGACTTAATTGGTTGAAATTGAAAGTCGAAGACCAATTTGTAAATTTAGCTATAGTCGAGGGACCATTTTGGTATTTATTCTATTTTAAATTATTTTTATCAATTTCATCATGTTGTTACCAACGTTAACATCCGTCCAAATAAACTAATCTTTTAATTTTTCCAATTTACCACTCTAATTATAAAATACTATCGTGCCAAGAGTTATAAATCACTATAGCCTCCCAACTCCCAACACCAAACCTCTTCCCCCAACAATCCTCATTTTAGTAGGAGATTAAACTTGTAGTTATAAATTTTAGCTAAACAAACAATTTTAAATGGTTATTTTATGATATAAATATATATGACTTTACTTTCAATCAAACTCTTATTTAGTTACTAGTTTCTCAATTTTAACTATTAATTTTTCAGTTTTTAACTTTTAATTAGCTAACTTATAAGGTAGATATGTCAAACAGAGTCATAATTATTAGCTATCTCATTTTCAAGGGAAAATCTTGCCCACAAATCCAAATACAAATCTGTAAGTCGGTGTTCATCACAATTTCCAGTATTTTCCCATGTGCGTTCTAACTTCTAAGAAATCTTGGACGGTAGCATGCCAACAGACGAATCAAATTGAAGGACACCTGTCATATGGATAACAATTTCTTGTTTGTCAGTTTTTTTTTTTTTTTTTTAAATAATTATTTTAATTTCCATCCAACTCAATTGGTGTCACAGACTCACAGTAGTACCTGATTATCATGCATATGATTGCATGTGCATTACGTACACATTTACACTTAAAATAAATTGGAAAATTGGAGTTTTAGTCTTCAATTATATATAGGGTAATAACGAATTCAGTTATTTTATTAAATGTTAATAAAATTGTGTATACAAACGCTCCGTTGTGTGTATTAGATAAACTCCATTAGACAGATTTGATCAAGAATGTGTTTAAGGACATTATATTGTAGGTAATAATAAACCTTTTAACACTATGTATTATGTTAAATAACAATAAATAACATGAGATGCCCCAATCATAGAACTTCAAAATTAAATCAAGGTTGCACTATTTCACTCCCAAATTGGGTAACGATGCGACATGCCAAAATCATATATATCATACAGGGAGCTGACAATAATACAATATAGTCTAAGCTAATTAAAATGAACATACAATGCATATTTATAGACACTTATTTTACAGAACATGATCAGGAGTGACACTTTGTTGTTAAATGGGGATAGGGATAGCCCTAAGAGGACAAGCTTTAGCCAATGTAATACCAAACTTTTCTTCCATGTCCAAATCCATAGGTGCAATGCCACCCTCAAGCTTCCACTTGAATAAGTTCAACAAAGACCCTAACATTACTGGAACTGTTCTTACAGCTAGAGGTAATTCGGGACAAATTTTTCTACCAGCCCTAAATGGAATGAGCTCAAAATCCTGCCCTCTTACATCCATTTCTAAATTCCAAAATCTCTCGGGCTTGAAGACCAATGGATTCTCCCAGATATTGGGGTCACGCCCAATTGCCCATACATTGACAAGAATTTGTGAGTCCTTGGGAATAGTGTATCCGCATAGGACCACATCATGTTCAATTTTACGCGGAATCAAGAACGGAACTGGTGGGTGTATTCTAAATGTTTCTTTCACCACGCATTGCAAGTAAGGAAGCCGAGTAATGGCAGTAGATTATAAGCTCATGGA